GCGCGGGGGGGCCGGGACGGGCGGCGGCGGAGGCAGCGGGGGACGGGGGGCGGCGGGTGCGGGGCGGCCTCGGAGCCCCGGGCCGGGCGGGGAAGTTGGGCCGCGGCCGCAGACATTGGCGGGGCTTTTGCTTCGCCCTTTTTTCCTGCTGTTCTCGGAGCCCCTGCTTTCCTGCTTTCGGCCCTCGCCACCTTTTTTTTTTTTTTTTCCCCCTTACATTATCCCTCCTTTTTTTTCCCCTTAACCCTCCCCCCCTTTTTTTTTTTTCTTCACCCCCTCCCCGTTTTTGCCTTCACCCACTTTTTTTGCCTTCACCCACTTTTTTGCTTTCACCCCCATTTTTTTACTCTTCACTCCTCCCTTTTTTTTCTTTTAACCTCCCTTTCTTTTTCCTTCGACCCCCTCTTTTTTTCCCTTTTCCACTCCTTTCTTTTTTTTTTCTCCCCATTTTTTCCCTTCATCTCCCCTTTCCCCCCTATAATTAATTAAGTTGTAAAATGCCTCAGAGATAAACGAGTCGCAGGGTGTTGAGAAAAATCCATTTTAAACTGATTTTTCCCACCAAAAATACGGGAAAGAAGAAAAAAATCTATTTAAAATTTATTTTTCCATAACTTCCATTTTAAACTGGATTTTCCCACCACAAATATCTCCAAGATAAATTTATTTCCAGCGGCTTTTCCCTGCATTTCCAGGCCAAACCCTTTTTTAGCAGCGCTCCCGCTCTGCCGAGGCCCCGCGCCCCTGAGGAGGGAACGGCCGCGACCTTCCCAAGATGGCGCCGGCCCCTCACGCCCCCCAGAGCGGCCCCCCTCGCCCTCCCCAACATGGCGCCGACCTCCCGCCTATGGCCGCCCCCGCCGCCCTCGCCCTCCTCAAGATGGCGGCGGCGCGGCGCTATGACGCCATACGTCCCGCTCCCCCCCTCTCGCTGTCCCCGGCCTCCTCCGACCCCCTCTTTTTTTCCCTTTACACCCCCTTTTTTTTTCCTTCACCCCCATTTTTTCCCTTCATCTCCCCTTTCCCCCCTATAATTAATTAAGTTGTAAAATGCCTCAGAGATAAACGAGTCCAACCTTGATGAAGTTCCTCTTCATGCCCCCTTTTTCTCCCCTTTCTCTTTGTTTTTTTCCCCCCCTTCACCTCCTATTTCTTTCCCCAGAACCAGTTAGGTTGGAAAAGATCTCTGAGCTCATTGATGAAGTTCCCCTTAATTCTCCCTTTCCCTCCCTTTTTTTTTTCCTGTCATCCCTCTTTTTTCCCCTTTTACCCCCTCCCTTTTATTTTTCTTTACACTTTGCACATGTATAATTTTCCTCCCTCTGTACAGGAGGTTGGGAGCGAGTTGAAACGTGTTAATCACTCACCTCCCCTCCGTTTAAAATACCCAAAAAGAGGCTGTGAATTGCCTATAAAAAAGGGGTGTAACTGGCTATGTATTAAAATACCCAAAAAAAGGGCTCTAAAACATCTGGCTCAGGACACACCTGGCTGTGACTGAGGTGCTCAGGCCCTTTTTAGTGTAAATAATAATTAAGGGACAGAAATAATTCAGCTCAGGACTCTTCCTACATTTGAGGTTACCAAGTCTAAGCTTTCTTGCAGCTACAGATGATTTTCGTTGCGTGGGGAGATGTTTTCTCTGTTCAAGTTTGGGAGCTCTGCTTTCTGTTTGTATTATTTTTTTCTCCTTCAGTGGACTGTTTTTTCCAAAATTCGGGATTTTTAATCCCTTAGGCAGGGCCTGGCTGTTGTGGTTTTGTTTCTAAGCCTTGCTGGTCTCTGAGCACAGTTTTAGACCCTCTTCCCAGATCCTGAGAGGATTCCCACTGTGAACTCATCCCTTCTTTTCCTTCACATCACAATTGCTCCTTTCCAAATCCTCTCACAGTGAAGTTTCAATTCCCAAATATTGAGGAAATAGGTGAGAGACTTGTTCATGTTTTTAATTGAAATTGAGATGTTTTCTCTGTTCAAGTTTGGGAGCTCTGCTTTCTGTTTGTATTATTTTTTTCTCCTTGAGTGGACTGTTTTTTCCAAAATTCGGGATTTTTAATCCCTTAGGCAGGGCCTGGCTGTTGTGGTTTTGTTTCTAAGCCTTGCTGGTCTCTGAGCACAGTTTTAGACCCTCTTCCCAGATCCTGAGAGGATTCCCACTGTGAACTCATCCCTTCTTCACCCACATCACAATTGCTCCTTTCCAAATCCTCTCACAGTGAAGTTTCACTTCCCAAATATTGAAGAAATAGGTGAGAGACTTGTTCATGTTTTTAATTGAAATTTTCGTGCTGGTGGTAAAACTGGGAGCAATGATTTTTATTTTTTTCCTGTTGAGGGTGAAAGAGGAAGTGCATGATGGTGATGATGATGGTACTTGTGGAAAGCTGAGGACTGTAACAACTGAATTTTCCCGGATTTTGACCTTGCCCATCCATCCCTGGAGATGTCCAAGGCCAGGCTGGATGGGGCTTGGAGCAACCTGGGATGGTGGGATGGGATTTATGATCCCTTCCAACCCAAACCACTCCGTGATTCCACCAAGTGTCCCAGCACAGTGTTCATTTAAATCCTCTCATCTTCCTCCTGGTGTGTTTGGTGTTTTGCAGAGCGTCTCAGTTGGTTTTTGTGGAGTTCTGTTGCATCCTGGTTGTTTTCCATGAGCCTGACATCATTTTTGTGATGACCTCTTGTGCACAGGCCATAAGCACAGCGAGCTGGGAGCCCTCAGCCTCATCCCCTGTGGGTTTTGTGCAGCCCTTGGAATATTTTAGGATTTAGGAGACATGTGGTCTGGCAGAGGTGACTTGGCCAGGACAGCAAACACCCCGTTGCAGAAATTAAATGAAACCATCCTGGAAAACCCAGCCCTTCCAGTGAGAATCCTTGGTGTGGGTGGGAGGTTGCACCTCTGTGCTGCTCCACCAGGAAAATGGCAAATTTGGGGGATTAAGCTCGGGGAAGTGGTGGAATCCCCACCCCTGGAATTGTCCCATTTGGCACCTGAGGCTGTGGTTTGGTGGGGCTGAGTTGGTGGCTGAACTCCGTGCTCTCAGAGGGCTTTCCCAACTTCAACTCCACGATTCCATGAGCAAAGGCCACTTTGCTCCCAAGGGAGCTTGGCCACCCAGGGGTTTTTCCTGCCATTAACTGTCTGGAATTCCCTGGACAGAAGCCTGCTCAGCTGCTCTGATGTCCACCTGCAGCCCACAGGTGCCTTGGTGTGAGGAATTCTTCACATGTTGGGATTTCATCACTTTTCTGTCTCTCAGGAGCCTGGATCACCTTTTTTTCAGCCTTAAACCGGGCAATTTAACCTCTGCTGAGCTCAGGCCTGGAATATTTCAGGCTTGTAGGGGAAACCAGGGAAGCCCAGGAGAGTGGAGGAGCCCAGACTGGGAGCACTGGGACCACTCTTGGTGTCCATCCCCCCTCTAGGCTGGTCATGCCCAACTTCTGCCAGGTGCATGCACAAGCTCTGGGAATATTTCCATTGCTTTTCCAAAGGAGGGAGGTTTCCATGCAGTTTTCTCTCTCCTGAAGGGTTTGGGAGTTATTATTTTTTATGCATTACCTTTCTCTGATCTGGGAAGTTGTCTTCCAGGAAAGCAGCAGGGCACAGTGAACTCTGCTGTGCTCCTGAATCCCTTTTACCAAGAAAATTTAATCCACTCTTTTCTACATAAGAACACTTTGTGCTGTCAGGAGGAGTGGTGGGGTTGTGTTGATGATTTTTGGTGCAGGGAGTTCTGTGAAATTCAGCCTTGGACTTTATCTTCCTTAGGCTGCTTCTGAAGTTGATCTGTGGGAAAAAAAAACACACAGTTCAGATATTTTGTGTTACCCATTGCCCAGTGCCCAAGATATTTCATAAAATAATTTTAAACCACTTTTTTGGGGGGTTTTAGAATAACTTCTGCTGCACAGTGAGGATTTTACTGGTACTGTTGAGTGCCCCACTGGCCTCTGGGGAAAGAACCTTTTCCAAAATCTGGCCTAAAACCCCTGACAGAGCTCCAGCCATTCCCTTGGGTGAAGTGGAGCCCTGTCCCTGTGTGTGTTTAAAGGGAATCCATCCTCTCAGGGTTTGGAATTCAGCTTTTTGTTAGGTCATTTTAGTGCTTTCCACACCCCTGCCCTGATCCATTTCTCACTTATTTTAGTGATGGAATTTGTGTGTCTGCTCTCGTGAATCTCTTCATCAGCTCACTTTGCCCAAAGTGAATCCAAACCAGGTAAATAAATCCTGGCAAAACCCCTGTGGTTTCCAAATATTGCAAATTATAGAACTGGGAACATCACTGGTGACTTTTTATCTCTTCAGCCAAAACTCCCACCAGAAGCCCTCACCACTCCCCAGCATAAAGGTTGCAGTGGAGTGTGAGAAAAGTTTTAAGGTCCAGAACTGTGCAAGGCTTTGTGCCAGGGAGGAGGAACCTCTCACCTGGAGCATCCAGGACCTTCCAGCTTTGGGGAAATTCAGATTTGTTCTGTGCCCATTGCAGTGGGGTTCAATATTTGTGTATCCCACAATTCTGGTCCTTCTGTTTTTGGTTTTTTTTTTCCCAAAAACTGGTGGGGCTGATCCAGTTGCCAGGTGGACAGTCCCACCAGGAGGGCTGGCTGGGGTTTGTCCAATTCCTGGGAAACCTCAGAGCCCCTCATCCTTTGGGAACAGCACAGCTACAGCCAGGAGCTGTCCCTGTGTTTCACCAGAGTGTGAGAGGTTTTCCCCAGGTTTTTAGAGCTCGGGTTTTTTGGGCAGGACTCTGAGGTTGCTCTGGGTTTGTTGTGGATGAGTTGCTTGCCAGATTCCAAGAAGAAGTCCAAGAGGGAATCCCTTGCACTGCCAGATGGAGCCCGGGGAGCTGCGGGCTGCGTTTGGTGGAGCTCGCAGCGTGTTCTGATCCGCGCTGACATTTTGATGTCAATGAAATTCCATCTTGGTTTTTTCCCCTCCTGGAAAAAAAAGATGTAGCTGTGCAAAAACCCTTAGGATGCTGTGGCTGGCAGGTGGAGCATTGTTTTTGTTGTTGTTTTTGTTTGGCAGGTGTGTGAATTGTTTGTGTGCTGCCTGTGGTGCCTATAAATAATAAATGGGTTGCTCAGATCCTGCAGCGACTCGGAGGGAAACTCAACTTTTTCAGACCTACAAAATTCACCTGACCTCAAATACAGCAGGGAAGACCCATGAAAGTGTGTTTTCACTCACAGACCACGTTTGCTGGTGATCAATGTGACCAAGGAAGCCAATCCTGAAGTAACTGAGTCCCTCCCACTGTTCATTACATAACCATCTAATTAAAGGCATCAAACAGGGATGACTTGGAAAACTTCATACTCTGGGTCAAAAACACTTGCAAAACCACAGCCCAGAGTGCCCATGTTTTATTTATGCTGGGGAGTGCTGTGTAAATGAAGAAGTTTCTTCTTGGTGTCAGCCTTTAGAGTCTCCTGCTGCTTCTGCAGCCGCTTCCTTGGGCACCAGGGAAATCCTTTAACTCCTGGTTTCCCTTTGGAAGGAGAAGGGACTTCATGGTGCTGCTCCCTTCCCTCCCTAGAAGGAGCTGGTGGATTCAGAGCTCTTCTTGTGGTTGCTTTGGTTTGAAAGTTGGGTTCTTTTCAGGCTTAATGAATTCTGCATCATGAGCATTCCCATGGATTTAGGGGTAAATCGTGATTTTGGTCCCTTGCTCCAGAAGGAAACTGTGAATTTCCCTGGGAATGGTTGGAATACTTCAGCCCTGATAATCAGAAGCATATGCAGATGGAGGTGGTGGTGGAGAGACGTGAAAGACATCTGAAGAACAAAATGTGGCAGCAAATAAAAATCCACGGTCCATTTTCAGCTTATAGGGTTTTGATAGGAGCTGTGGAAGGCTGGAATTCCCTCAGGATTTTCATGCCGTGCTCAAAGCAGGGAAAGCACAGAGTGAGGGTGGGTCAGGGCTGGAATTCCAGGATGCTCTTTGGGGGTGTGCAGAGTCCCCTCTGCCCGTGTGGCAGGGGACACAGAGAGCTCCTGGCCTGTTCAGCAGGCTCTGTCAGCGTGGAGAGGCAAGTGTGGGATCAGCATTTAAACCCAGCTTGGAGGTGCTCTAGACCTGAAAGACTGGCAGGCAAATCTCTCTGGTGTAGTTGGGCTGGAAATGCAATTTTTTTTTTCCCCTCCAGAAAACACAAATTTTGATGTGAGGCTGGGAGTGTGACGTGGGATTTTCTCATGGGATTTTCCCACGTAGCTGCTGTGTTTGCACAGAGTCAGTTTCCCTTTTTGGGGTCGTGGGGTCGTCATGGAATTGTGGAATGGTTTGGGCTGGAAGGGATCTTAAAGCTCATCTCGTGCCATGGCAGGGACACTCCCACTGTCCCAGGCTGCTCCAGCCCCAGTGTCCAGCCTGGCCTTGGGCACTGCCAGGGATGCAGGAGCAGCCCCAGCTGCTCTGGCAATTCCAGCCCAGCCAGGAATTCCTCATGGCCAAGATCCCATCCATGGCTGCCCTCTGGCACTGGGAGCCATTCCCTGTGTCCTGTCCATCCCTTGTCCCTAGTCCCTCTGCAGCTCTCCTGGAGCCCCTGCAGGCCCTGGAATGTGCTGGAAGCTCTCCCTGGATCCTTCCCTTCTCCAGGAGAACATTCCAGCTCGCCCAGCCTGGATCCCTGGGAACTGTGGGGCTCCAGCCCTGGAGCAGCTCCGGGGCCTCCCCTGGGTTCACCCCAGCAGCTCCAGGTCCTTATGTTCATCAGTCCCCAGTGGATTTTCTGGGGAGTTTTTCCTCCTCAAGTGCATATTTTGCAGGGCAGCCAAGCAGACGTGTTTTTGAACCACTTGAACTTCAAGACAGGGTGGCCAGGCTGCCATTTTGGGTGGAAGTTTGATAATTAGACGTGCTTAGGACTGCACTGTCTGTTCTCACCACGTGCTGATCTTGAGTTGATGCCATGTGAGGACCGAATCCTTAAGGTGGTCCATTGTCATTTTGGGCACCACTACAGAAAAAAGGTACAAAGGTATTAGAGAGTGTCCACAGGAGGGACACAGGGATGAGGAAGGGGGCTGGAGGAGCACTGAGGGGACTGGCTTTGCCCAGCCTGGAGGAGTGGAGGCTGAGGGGAGACTCACTGGGGGCTGCAGCTTCCTCAGGAGGGGCAGCTCTGCTCTGTGTGACCAGGGACAGGATCTGGGAAATGGTATTAAACTGTGCCAAGGGGAAGTCAGGCTGGATATCAGGCTGGATATCAGGTTGGATACCAGGGAAAGGTTCTTTTCCAGGGGTGCTGGCAGTGCCCAGGCTCCCCAGGGAATGGGCACGGCCCCAAGGCTGCCAGAGCTCCAGGAGCGCTTGGACAGCGCTGCCAGGGACAGAGTGGCATTGTTGGGGTGCCTGTGCAGGGCCTGGGCTTGGATTGATGATCCTGTGGATCCTTTCCAGCTCAGGATATTCCCAGAGGGAGCCAAGGCTGGACAGAGCTCGTCCATGCTGGACACGTGGTGATCCTTCCCACCCCGGAGCTTTGTCGGGACAAGGCTGTGGCATCTCTGCCCCACCCTCTTGCTCAAACCTTTCTGTGTCACCCACTGCCATTCTCTCTTCCTGTGGTAGTCCAGCATAACCACTAATCCTCTCTCTCCATAAAAGAGGATTAAAACTGGGAACATTTGCACCTTACAGCAGCCAGCCAGGGCCCTGCTCTGTCTTTTCCAGCAGTAATCCCAAGGGTGCACCTCTGTGCCAAGCCAGGAATGCTTCAGCCAGCGCCAAACAGCAGCCTGTGCTTGTTGGGTTAGCAAATCTCTAAAAGACCACTTCTGCCTGTTAATTAAAAAAGCTGAATTGACTAAAGATGAGTAACTGGCTTCATGCTGTTAGAACAACTCCTGGGTTCTGCAGCTCTGAGGAAAATAGGTTAAAATTGGGATTTCTGCGAGGCTCTTTGAAGAAAATGCAAGAGTGACAAAGTATTACCTCAGAGAATGGCATTTATCATGTCCTGGTTCCTAAACTTGTGGCAGACCGCACATCCTGCAAGAAGATTTTAGGGAAAAAGGTGCTACTGGTGGGGGGGGGAGTCACCCCAAAGGCTGCCTGTGGAACCTGGGAATGCTCAATGAGAATTCCATCCAGTGGTTCACGGCTCTGGGTGCAGTTTCACTGCCAGTTTTGGGTTACGCTCGGCCGGGAGGTGTGGTGCCCTTCCCGCGGGTTTCCGAATGGGAAACGTGCCCTTTTCTTTCTTGGGGTCTTCCAGGGGAGGGCTGACTCCACTGGGATATTATCTCTTGGTGCCAAAGCTTGAGAAGAGTCTTCGAGAGGAATCCACCTCATCCTTTACCCCGTGGCTTCCTGCTGGTGTTTGGTGCTAAATATATCAAATTTAGCTGCAAAAAGGACCCGTTGCAAGTCACAGTGTCCCTGATGTGCCACATCGCCCAGTGGCAGCTCTCAGCAGCAACTCGGAGGTATTGTCCTAATAAATACCTGTGAAATCCTGTTTGTGTCTTTTCCAGGCCTGCCACAGTGAAGGTTTTTCCTGCAGGGGGATTTTTTTGCTTTTTGATGCCAGATTGTGACAAAGAGAGCGCATTAATAGAAGGAATTTTGGTTTTGGTTGCTGGAATTAATTTGATTTCAGGGCTTTTCACGCCGAGACCAGGAGCATTGGGATTTTTATTTTTTATTTTTTTTTGTTCCCCATGCTAATTAAAAGGATCATTTTACTAATGTTATGCCACAGGAGGACGCTGTGGAACGAGAGCTGGTTCCTGTTGTTGCTCGAGTCACTGTATCTGTGCCAACCACGTAAATAAGATGTTCACTTCAATCTTGATAGGAAGGGAATAAACTGGAGTGTCTTATCTTGCTTTGTGCCTGGTATCAGCTGTGCTGCTGACAGGAGTCAGTGTCTCCAGTCCTGGAAAGCCTTTCCCATCCAAAACCTTGAGCAGCTTTTGGAAGGGCAGGTGCTCCACTGGGAAAAAAAAAAAAAACAACCTGTTTTTTATCAGGTTCTGGTGTTGGCTTCAAAATTCTCCTCATGAACAAGGGAGCATTTTTTTCTTTCCGTGGAAAATGGGATTTTAGTATTTAAATGTGCGTTTTCTATGAGTTGTGGTAATAAGTGAGATATTAATCAAGCTTATCCTGGTGTTTGCTTATCAGACCCTCAGGGGAGATTCCCTCTAGGCACAGTTTTATACAGGAGTGGTGTCAAATTCAGTGGTGTCAAATTCACCCCAAACAGGAATTAATGAATGATATTTACCCGGTGAGTGGTGCCAATGCAACGTGGAAATCTTTAATAGGAATTAATGAACGATATTTACCCAGTGAGTGGTGCCAATGCAACCTGGAAATCACGGAAGGAGCTGCATCTCTGTGACTGGGAGCCTGGAATCTCCTGCTGGGGACACCTGGACATCCTCTTTCTCCTGTCCCCGTGGAGAAAAGAGCAGGAGAAGGTCTGGGGCTGGCTCGGTGGTGGTAGCCCTGCTGAGTGAAGGGAGTGGGGGCTGTTCCATGGGCTCTCCCAGAAGCTGGTGCTGTTGGAATGGGCTGGCACAGAGCTCCTGGCAGCTCTGGTTTCTCCTGGAAGTGCTTTGTTAACCAGTGCTGTCAGGAAATGCCGTGAGGGAGCTCCAAGCCCCGGCTGGGAGGTGGATGAGATGCCATGCTGGCCCAGATGGAGGAGAAACGGAGCCAGGACAACACCAGGAGTGGCCATTCCTCCTTTTTAAAGGTTGCCCTCTAATCCTCCCCTGGAGCAGCTCCTCTAAGCCAGACCTTCCCAGGAACCACCAAAACTGGCTCGTTTCTGGCCATCCTCATCGGAGGGAAGACACAAATCCCTCAAGACTAAAGAGGTTTGATGGACACCACTGATGTCAGTCACAGCTCCTGGTGAAATTCATGGAATACATCCCTGGATTTGTGTTTGTTCCCAGATGAGCTTGGCTCTCTGTGGCTGTGACCATCAAAATGTGATGTATCAGAAATCTGCAGGTGATAAACCAGGATGTACCTGCTGTCCTGAAAAACTGCACAGAGGGTCTTGTGCCAGAACAGGAAAAGCAGGACTGGACAATTTCAAAGGTCTAATTCCACTCAAACAGGATTTGATTTTATTAGTAAATGGCCAGTGATTGATTCCTTGCTAAGATCAGTTTTCACTTAGGAATTATCCCAGGCTGCCTCTGCAGGGAGATTGGAGTTTATGGAGACACACAGCCAGAAGTTTGGAACAGCTTTTAAAATACCACATTCCTGAGCACTAGGTGCAGAGGAAGTGCTTTTCAATCTGACTGAATGCACCAAGTGTGACCCAGTTGAAAAATCTCCTTCACATCACGCCAGCCCAGATCATCAAAGGTACTTTTGATCCCTCCCTGTCATGAGCTGCCAGCGGAGCCCGTGGTGCTGTGGCAGGGAGGAGGAGGAGGGGCTGCAGCCACAAACAGTTGGTGGATATTAAAATAAATGGAAGTGGGGTCTTCCTTACCCTCCTGGGAGTGAGGGAGCAGGTGGGAAGCCCTGGGTGCCACCAGCAGCAGCATTTGGGAAGCTGGGAGCTGCTCCAGCCTTGCTCCGTGGCTCATGGAGATGAAGCAGGAGTTAGTGAGGAATCTCCTCCCAGCATGGGGAAGTGGAACAGCAAACAGTGGCCAGAAGCTGATTCAGAGGATGATTTCCTAGAGAGGTGCACGGGAAGGGTGAACACCGTGGAGAAGGACCAGGGGAGCTCTGCAGCCCCTCCCAGAACAAAAGTGCCACTGTGATGTTGTTTAATGCAGAGCAAGCGACTTATGTATGGCAGAGGCTTGAATCCACTGAGCTCCAGATGCTTGTCAGCTTCACAGAAGAGCAGAAGAAAGGCAGGAGGTGTTGCAGGTGTTCTGGAAAACACCTGGAGCAGGATTTCCCTGAAGTGAAAGCACAGGAGAGGGACCAGCTTGAATAATGAACCAGATTTTCTCTTTATTTGTCGAGATTCCCGTGTAGTGCCGAAGTGCTCCGTGCTGAGTTCCTGTGTGGAGCAGGGTTGTCAGTAAGGAATTGGTGCTGACTGTGGTGCAGAGATCAAACAGAAAATTATTTGGGAAAGGAAAACCAGGAGTGTTTTCATTCCTTTGAAAGAAACGAGGAAACAAACCTGATTATTCCTCAGAGTGTAGGATTGATCCTCTCAAATAAGCCCTTTAAATTAATTAATAAAAAAAACCCAAAGCAAATTAAACCAAAATAATAACCCATTATTCCTCAGAGTGTAGGATTGATCCTCTCAAACAAGCCCTTTAAATTAATTAATAAAAAAAAAAAAAAAACACAAAGCAAATTAAACCAAAGTAAAAACCTCAGGAGCACCTGATGTCCCCTGAGCTGACTGAGCAACCACATCATCCACTTGTCTCTTCCTTTCTCCATGCTTTTGCTGAGTACAAGGCATGATTTTGGGGAAAATCATGTGAAAAGCCTTAAGAGTGTTGCAGGCCACGAGGCTCCACCTGTGTCCTGCTCCGTGTGTTTGGGTGGCTCCATCACCAGGGGATGATGGGTTTAGTGGTGGCCATGGCAGTGCAGGGGGACAACAATTGGACTTGATGATCCTAGAGGGCTTTTCCAACCTGAACTGTTCCATGATTCCATCTTTTCAGTGGTTCACAGCCTTTGGAGGGTGGCAGCCTTTCTCCTGTCATCCTTGGGAAGAGGAGAAGGTCCAGGACCTGACCAGACTGGAATGGGAACAGGGACAGTCCCCTGGCCTCGTTAATGTGTCTGTTAAACTAATTGGGGATGTTGATCACTTGTAAAGAGGATTCTGAGTTTTTAGCATGTGTTTTCCTTAGTCCTCTCTTTTTCCTCCCCTGTAATTTCCAGCTCCTCTCAGAGAAGGCAGAGCTGCTGCTGGAGCTGGGGACATCCATCCAATAATGTTCTTTGCTGGGATGGGATTTCCTTCTTCCCAAAGCCTTTGGTTGGGAAAGGTTGTGCACCGTCAGCAGGCTGTGTGGGAGCTGATCTCTCAGTTTGCCGTGGGGGATTTGCTGATTCCTGCATTTTAGTTATAAAATTTTAGATTTAGTTATGAAATGTGTTCATTTTCATGTTGATGCTGGTACAGAGTGCAGGGGAACTTCACCCATTTGGTTTTCCACCCAGAATGACTCACTCTTGATATGAAAATATGAAGGCTGAATTCTGACTATCAGGACAATTAGCAAAGAAGCAAGTTTTGTAAGAACATCAAATTGATTGATCCATTTGAGCACAAGATCCTTATATTTGCTGTTTTGGATGCCATTGGTTGTTCCCACCCTATTTCAGGATGCTGGAATCATGGAATGGGCTGGGTTGGAAGAGACCTTGCAGCCCATCCAGTGCTGTCCCCTGCTTTGGGACACCTCCCACTGTCCCAGGCTGCTCCAAGCCCTGTCCAGCCTGGCCTTGGACATTCCAGGGATCCAGGGGCAGCCACAGCTGCTTTGGGCAACAGGGAAGAATTTCTTCCTTATGTCTGATCTAAATCTACCCAATTTCACTGAAAACTTTGCCCCTGCATTCCCCAAGGTCTTTCATGGCTGTATCCTAGGAGGGATCCTCTCATGAGCATGCACGAGAGGACAGGGCAAGCAGGTCTCAGAATCTCCATAGAATTCCTGTTTTGCTTCCTTTCAAAGTTATTTAAACCACCAAAGAAGCGAGACCCAGCGATTCTTTTTATTTATTGCTGATCTGAGCAGGGTTTCAAATTAATGAGGTGTGGGCTGAGTTGGTAAAAATGGCACCATGATTTAACATTGCAGAGGATAAATGCTCATCTCCGGGTTCAGTCTGTCTCACTCGTGTCTCCTGCAGCATCTGAAGCAAAACCTCTTCAGTGGGATAAAGGTTTAAAATAATCCCAGGCCCTGCCTGTGTGAGGGGCTTTTTCCATCGTGCTGCTGTTCCTCATGATTTTTTCTGGTGTGGAATTTTTATTTTGGACTCAGTTTTAAGCTGGATGGTGATGGTAGAGGATGGTGTGTGTGGGGTTTTTATGGGTTGAGTTGTGACTTGTTACAATCACACCACGGAGACCTCCATTTCAATCTACGGGGGTTTAAATTTGGTGTGGAATTTATGGGGTTTGCCACCAGTTCCTGTTGTTTTCTGGTGGTTTGAGTGGTGCAGCTCTGCTGTTTCCTCCTGTGTTGCTCAGTGGTGGTGTCAGCAGCCACTGGTCAGGGCTGACAGGACATCAGAGGAACCCCTGACACGCTCGTGAAGCAGCTGCACTGTGTGATGAGAGGGACTTCATCCTCATATTTTTAATAAGCACTTTAAATGACTTTAAAACCACTCCTGGCTGTCATCCAAACCTTCTGGACTAAGCCACGGCCACCAGGAAATGTCCTTGCAGTCACCACTGTGTCATTAGGCTTCCCCTCCTCCTGAAACCGCTCTGGTTTTGGGAGAAAACCAGGGATCAACGTTCTTTTTCTGGAGTGGGGAATGCTCTTCTCTAAAGGATGAAGGGAACAGCTTTCCTTTCATCCCTGTGCTGGATCCCTGCTCAAATCCCAGCCCCACCCTTCGGATGTGTCACAGGGATGTGTGGCCGGGCCAGCTTGGTGACACCTTCACCTGCCAGTCAGGGTGCTGGCCCACAGAGCCTGGCTCGTGTCAGGAATCCTTTGGGAATGATTTGAACATGGGAATGGCTTCCCAAGGTTTCAGTGTTGGTGACATTAGGTTTGGGTTGCTTTTGAGTGCAAGGTTTGGTTCCAGTGGTTTCATCTGTTGTCTTGGGGCCTTGTCTCCTGACTTCAAAGTCACTGTGCTCTATCAATCACATTCTGATCACATTTTTCCATGGTTTTTTTTAAATTTTAATAGTAAGAAAAGCAGCAATGTCCCCTTTCAGGAAAAGCTCCGTGTCTTGGGAAATCTGTTAAGCTGGTCCATAAGGGTTTACTCGAAATATTTTTTCCCACCCGTTTTTCTGTGGTGAAGGCAGTGTGAATTTCGTGGAAGGAAGTTAGGTCTGATTGATTGATTCTCCACAAGAAGTTTTCAGTTTGTCTCCGTGTACCTCAACGTCTCAGTCCCTTCCTCAGTGGCACTGTTTGAACTCCTGCTATTTTTGGATGGTTCTAATATTACAACCCAAGTTGTAAACAGGCTTGGACAACAGCAACATCAGACTCCAGCAGCTTTTTAGGGAGGACTGGGAGTCTGGAGCTGGTTTGGCTTTAGCTGTAGCCTCAGTAGGTTTGTGACAGTCTCACAACAACCATTCTGCTGTCCCTCAGGCTGGAATATTCCAACCCTTCCTCAGCACTGCCAATCCCACCACTAACCATGTCCCCAGGATCTGTTAAATCCCATCAGGGATGGGGACTCCAGCACTTCTGTGTTCCACTGACAGCTTGGAGAAGAAATGTTCCCCAAAATCCCATCTAAACCTCCCCAGCACTACTTTAACACATTTCCTCTTGTCCTGTGGCTTGGGAGAAGAGACCAACCCCACCTGGCTGCAACCTCCTTTTTGTTTGGTCAGAATAACCCTCTTGACAAAATGGTTTGGGTTCCTGTGTCTCACTGACCCCCATGGCATTCTGTGGTCTGTGTCAGTCAGGAGCTGTAATTCCATGACTGTACTTACCAGGCCAGAATATTTTTTTGTTTATTTTCTTATTCCCTGCAGCTGGTCACCTCTTTCTGCTCTTTGCCCTGAGCAGGAGCAGATTCCCTTTGGGGAATATGTTTTTGAGGGTCGAGGTTCTGATTCTCCTGTTTGAAAATATCTTAGGGATGTGCTCTTTCTTTTCCACAAACGTACAGCAGGCACAGACTGAAAATATCCCTGCACCTCCCATCCTGATCCTTCTGCACAGATCTGTGCTCCCAGTGTGTGGCCCAGGCCCTGCTGACTCTGTAAGCTGCTGCTTTGCTCGGTGCTTTACCGCTGGACGCCGTAATAAATCAGCTTTCTGTGATTTTTGTGCTTGGGTTGTGATGGCTTTGCCTCTGCCTGGACTCCGAGTCCAGGACTGGGCCCCTCCTGACCAGAAAGGTCTGGAGGGGCTGGAGAGGGTCCAGGGAATGGAGCTGGGAAGGGGCTGAGCCTGGAGCAAAGGAAGCTCAGGGGGACCTTGTGGCTCTGCACAAGTCCCTGCCAGGAGGGGACAGCCGGGGGGGTCGGGCTGTGCTCCAGGGAACAGGGACAGGAGGAGAGGGAACGGCCTCAGCCTGGCCAGGGGAGCTCAGGGTGGGCACCAGGAGGAATTTCCTCCTGGAAAGGGGGTCAGACCTTGGCAGGGGCTGCCCAAGGAGATGGTGGAGTCACTGTCCCTGGAGGTGTCTGAGGAACTCCTGGATGTGGCACTCGGTGCTCTGGTCTGGGGAAGGGACATAGGTTGGGCTTGATGATCTCAGAGCTCTTTTCCATCCTCAGTGCTCCTGGGATTCTGTACTGGCATCCTCATTTGTGTCCTGAGCTGTTGAGGGCAGAGGAGACTTTGTGTCACCCTCAGGCCTCTTCCCTGAAAGCTGGAACTTGACGTGGCAAAACCAAGTCCCAGTTTGACCCTTCAATACGTGTGTGAGGGACAATCTCAGCGCTGCAGGGTCCTTGGGGACCTTGCCTCCAGCAGAGATGATGGTGTCCCGGTGCTGTGCTCAGTTTGGAAGTGTGCTTTTTCCAAACTCTTTAACCTAGAGTTCCTCTCCTGGCAGAGTTATTTCCCTCTTGTAGACATCCCCTGTCCACGGGGGAGGCCATCTCTGTCCCTTGTGCTCACAGCTTCTTGTCCCAGCTTTTTGTCCCAGCTTTTTGTCCCCTCTGCCAGTGACTCTTGATGGAAGAACACGGAGTGACCCAGGCGGAGCACATGGCTACCATCGAGGCGCACGCCGTGGCCCAGCAGGTGCAGCAGGTGCACGTGGCCACCTACACGGAGCACAGCATGCTGAGCGCCGACGAGGACTCGCCCTCCTCGCCCGAGGACACCTCCTACGACGACTCCGACATCCTCAACTCCACGGCGGCCGACGAGGTCACCGCTCACCTGGCGGCTGCAGGTAAAGCCTGGGGGCTGCTCCGTCATCGTCATCATCATCATCATCATCATCACCTGCTGGTGATGCTTGTGTCGGAAAAATAGGGTGTCCCCTGTGTCTGGGAATGATTGGCATCTGACTCTATTGATTTAGAATGCTGAACAATTGTTTTATTAAACTGTATTATATTATATTGTACTGTACTATATTAAAGAGATATTACTCTATATATATACAGACATATATATATACACACACATATATGTGGGTATGTATATATATACCCACATATATATACTATATATATATACTGCACTATATATATACATATACATACTATATACATATATACTATACACATATATACATATGTATACACTCTATACATCTATACTATACTATATATACATATATATACTATGTACATATATACTATACACATATATACATATATATAAACACTATATACATATATACTATACTTATATATATACTATATACATATATACTATACACATATATACATATGTATACACTCTATACATCTATACTATACTATATATACATATATATACTATGTACATATATACTATACACATATATACATATATATACACACTATATACATATATACTATACTATACTAAATTACATACTAAAGAAAACTCGTGGCTGTCTTGACACAGCTTTGAGTGATTGGCCAAGGAAACAAAACAATCCTCAGCAGAATCCAATTAAGAGCTCCCTTCAGGTAAACAATATTCCTAACACATTCCACGTGTGCAAAAACAACAGGAGTAGCAAGTAGAGGTAAGAATTGTTTTCTCCCCTTCTCTCTCTGCTTCTCCAGGAAAACACCTGGGAGAGAGAATTATTTCTCTCTCTGTTCAGAGAATGTGAATGCTGCAATGCTTGGAGTGGCTGTTGGAATTCTGGGTGCTGAGAATTTTAGATTTTCTGTGCTGACAGACACTGACCCCCAAGAGAACACTGCATTTGACCTAAAGTGGTAACAAAAGCTTCCAAAATTGAATGATAGAACTAAGATTATGAGTGTGTAGTTGACTTGGTTTGAAAAGCCAGGTGTCTGCTGAGGAAGGCAGGAGCCTCCCTTGAAATGGAAAATGTAAACCCCCTCCCTCTGAATTATTATGATTTTGAAATTAAGGGGCTCTCAAGCAAAGATATGGGAATGGGAATAACAGTTCTTTATTAGGAAAGTGAAAATACAAATGCAATAGTGCAAACCAAACTGCCCCATGAACACAGCTCCTGCTCTGACTCTGACAGGGGTTTGTTTTATTTGTACTATTGCATTTGTATTTTTAATTTTCCTAGTAAAAACTGTTATTCCTGCTCCCATATCTTTGCCTGAGAGCCCCTCTTAATTTCAAAATTATAATAATTCAGGGAGAGGGGCTTTGCATTTTCCATTTCAGGGGAGGCTCCTGCCTTCCTCAGCAGACACCTGGCTTTCCAAACCAAGACATAGGGCCTAAGACAGTCAGGTGTCCTTGAGTTTCAGGCCTAGAGAGGAATTGTTTTATCTGAATAAAATGTGAGTACAGCAGCTGACAGGCTGTGGAGTTTTAGAGTTATACACTAAAGCAGTACAGGATCTGAAAAATAGAAAAGCTAAATCCTAAGGCATCACTGGTTCATCCACCCACAGGAATATTCCACAGGAAATTCTCCCTGCTGGCTGCTTGAATCCCACATCATTTCTGTGTGGATCACAGAGGTGCTGGGAATTGCTGCTCTATACAAAGATCTCTGCTAAAATGCTGCCTCAAGTAATGAAATTAAAATTCCAAATATGTCAAAGAGCAAAGATTATTTCAGGCCCCCCATAAACAACAGCAAAAAATAACCCAGGAGCACAGCCTTGCTGAGTCAGGGAGCTCACGTGTTGGGCCTGTCCCAGGGAGAGCCACAGAAGATCCTGACATATCTGGCCTGGGAAAGTCCTTCACAATCACAGATTCCTCCCAGTGGAGCCAAATGTCCTCCAGACTGGCCCTGTAGTGGGTTTGCATTGGCAGAAAAATGGGGTGATAATTAAGCACTGAGTCTGACCTGACTCTATCAGGCTTGAGACCAAACCTGTGAGGTTCCACCACCCCCTGATATATACTATACATATATATACCCTATATACATATATACTATACTATATGTACATATATATACTATGTACATATATACTATACACATATATACATATATATACACACTATATACATATATACTATACTATACTTATATATACTATATACATATATACAATACCATATATATATGATACTATACTATATATATACACACATGTATATATACATACTATATACATATATACTATACTATACTAAATTACATACTAAAGAAAACTCGTGGCTGTCTTGACACAGCTTTGAGTGATTGGCCAAGGAAACAAAACAATCCTCAGCAGAATCCAATTAAGAGCTCCCTTCAGGTAAACAATATTCCTAACACATTCCACGTGTGCAAAAACAACAGGAGTAGCAAGTAGAGGTAAGAATTGTTTTCTCCCCTTCTCTCTCTGCTTCTCCAGGAAAACACCTGGGAGAGAGAATTATTTCTCTCTCTGTTCAGAGAATGTGAATGCTGCAATGCTTGGAGTGGCTGTTGGAATTCTGGGTGCTGAGAATTTTAGATTTTCTGTGCTGACAGACACTGACCCCCAAGAGAACACTGCATTTGACCTAAAGTGGTAACAAAAGCTTCCAAAATTGAATGATAGAACTAAGATTATGAGTGTGTAGTTGACTTGGTTTGAAAAGCCAGGTGTCTGCTGAGGAAGGCAGGAGCCTCCCTTGAAATGGAAAATGTAAACCCCCTCCCTCTGAATTATTATGATTTTGAAATTAAGGGGCTCTCAAGCAAAGATATGGGAATAGGAATAACAGTTCTTTATTAGGAAAGTGAAAATACAAATGCAATAGTGCAAACCAAACTGCCCCATGAACACAGCTCCTGCTCTGACTCTGACAGGGGTTTGTTTTATTTGTACTATTGCATTTGTATTTTCACTTTCCTAATAAAGAACTGTTATTCCTATTCCCATATCTTTGCTTGAGAGCCCCTTAATTTCAAAATCATAATAATTCAGAGGGAGGGGGTTTACATTTTCCATTTCAAGGGAGGCTCCTGCCTTCCTCAGCAGACACCTGGCTTTCCAAACCAAGACATAGGGCCTAAGACAGTCAGGTGTCCTTGAGTTTCAGGCCTAGAGAGGAATTGTTTTATCTGAATAAAATGTGAGTACAGCAGCTGACAGGCTGTGGAGTTTTAGAGTTATACACTAAAGCAGTACAGGATCTGAAAAATAGAAAAGCTAAATCCTAAGGCATCACTGGTCCATCCACCCACAGGAATATTCCACAGGAAATTCTCCCTGCTGGCTGCTTGAATCCCACATCATTTCTGTGTGGATCACAGAGGTGCTGGGAATTGCTGCTCTATACAAAGATCTCTGCTAAAATGCTGCCTCAAGTAATGAAATTAAAATTCCAAATATGTCAAAGAGCAAAGATTATTTCAGGCCCCCCATAAACAACAGCAAAAAATAACCCAGGAGCACAGCCTTGCTGAGTCAGGGAGCTCACGTGTTGGGCCTGTCCCAGGGAGAGCCACAGAAGATCCTGACATATCTGGCCTGGGAAAGTCCTTCACAATCACAGATTCCTCCCAGTGGAGCCAAATGTCCTCCAGACTGGCCCTGTAGTGGGTTTGCATTGGCAGAAAAATGGGGTGATAATTAAGCACCGAGTCTGACCTGACTCTGTATCAGGCTTGAGACCAAACCTGTGAGGTTCCACCACCCCCTGAGCATCCCATGCCTTTTGCTTATGAACTTTCCAGCTTCCCATCATGCAGGAATTTTTCCTTCTCCTTCCCTTCTAGCACACAGAATTTTCAGGCCTGGGTAGTCTTCAAAAGACCCTGGTAGGGCACTGCTGGGAACTCTGGAATTTACATTTCTTTCCCTGGTAGATCACTGCTGGGAACTCTGGATTTTACATTTCTTTCCCTGATAGAACACTGCTGAGAACTCTGGATTTTACATTTCTTTCCCTGGTAGAACACTGCTGGGAACTCTGGATTTTGCCTTTCTTTCCCTGGTAGATCACTGCTGGGAACTCTGGATTTTACATTTCTTTCCCTGGTAGGGCACTGCTGGGAGCTCTGGATTTTACATTTCTTTCCCTTGTAGAACACTGCTGGGAACTCTGGATTTTACATTTCTTTCCCTGGTAGGGCACTGCTGTGCTGAGAACTCTGGATTTTGCATTTCTTTCCCTGATAGGCCACTGCTGGGAACTCTGGATTTTGCATTTCTTTCCCTGGTAGACCACTGCTGGGAACTCTGGATTTTACATTTCTTTCCCTGGTAGATCACTGCTGGGAACTCTGGATTTTACATTTCTTTCCCTGGTAGGGCACTGCTGGGAACTCTGGATTTTACATTTCTTTCCCTGGTAGGACACTGCTGGGAACTCTGGATTTTACATTTCTTTCCCTGGTAGAACACTGCTGAGAACTCTGGATTTTGCATTTCTTTCCCTGGTAGGAGACTGCTGAGAACTCTGGATTTTACATTTCTTTCCCTGGTAGGACACTGCTGAGAACTCTGGATTTTACATTTCTTTCCCTGGTAGGACACTGCTGGGAACTCTGGATTTTGCATTTCTTTCCCTGGTAGAACACTGCTGGGAACTCTGGATTTTGCATTTCTTTCCCTGGTAGGAGACTGCTGAGAACTCTGGATTTTACATTTCTTTCCCATTAGAACAGGTCCTCAATCCCTCAGGAAAGCCTCAGACTCCTGATGTTGTAGTTGAGGTGTCCAAGCAGGATTTGTGGAGCTGTACCTGGTTTCCTCTTCCCAGCCACCAGGACCTCCTCAGTTATTTAAATCTTGGGAGTTTTTCAGTGTGTTTGGAAGATGAAACACAGAATTCTGTGAGTGCCAGGACAACTTTAGGCTGAAATATGTGACTTTCACCCCGGGCTGAGCAGGGATTTGCCAGCCTGGGGAGCGGAGCTTTCGCTGCAGAGCTCAGGGAGGGATTTGTGTCACTTGGCTCTGCTGGGGACACCCTGGGCACCCATTCCTGGCTGGGGGGCATGGTGACCATGAGCTGCTGGAGCTGCCTGACCCTCTGTGCTTTGATTTGCAGGCCCTGTGGGGATGGCAGCAGCTGCTGCTGTGGCAACGGGGAAGAAGAGGAAGCGGCCTCACGTTTTCGAGTCCAACCCCTCCATCAGGAAGAGGCAGCAGACTCGTTTGCTCAGGTGGGCACTCACCTGTCCCTGCCTCCTCAGCCTCCTCCAGCCAGCTCTGGTGGCCTGTGTGCTCACAGCAAGTGCTGCCCAGGAGTCACCCAGCTCGGGGATTTTTTGGGAGTGTCTTTCTGGAAGGCAAGAGTTGGGTTTTAGTTTGCATTAAAGGGTTAAATTGCAGCTCTGCTCATCTCTGATTTTGTGATCACCAGGACTGACACTCTGGTGGATCCATTGTTCTGTTTTAACCCCCAGCTGGTCACCAGCTATCTGTCACAGTGACATTGCAGCATATCCATAGTGGCTTTAGCAGAAATTGAAGCTCCTTCCATGTCCCAGCTCTGCAAAGCATTTATCTGCCTCACAAAAAAAAGTCTTTTCTGCTTGGTCAAACCATTCTGGAGATAAATTCAGTGTGTGTATATCCAAATTCCCTTTGCCACTGGACAAACCCCACAGTCTGTGGGATTTAGAGCATAGTTTTAGGAAGAATAATCCAGGAGAGATTCCTGCCTGAGTTAAAACACTATTTTTTGGCTTTAGGAGCTTCCTGTGGAGACAGCAGGGCTCCACAGCCCTCCAGGTGTTGCATTCCAGGTGCTCTGAGGCTGTTTGCCCACCTGATGGCCCCCGAGCCACACCAGAGCCCTGGGGCTGCACAGCCCTGGAGACACCACCTGAGGTTCTGGGCTCTGGAATCATCTGAGAACACCGGCTGCCACTGTTCCCTGGCTTTTGCAACAAAGCAATTCTTGATTTTTTTGCTGTTTGGGATCTCATTGGGCAGTTAATGTTAATTTATTGGGCAGAGTTATTGCTAAATAATAATCCTTAGGAGTGAATTCCCTGCCTTTTACAGCTCCGTTCTGGTTTTCCCTCCTTCCCCCAACTCTGCCCTGTTTATTGCAGTGTTTCTGTGTTTATTGCAGTGTTTCTGAAGAACAAATCTTTTTCTCCCTTGAAATATGAACAATATCATTTCAAAGAAACTGCTCAGTGAAGGAATTATTTCTTCTCCTTTCACGCAATGACTTCATTTTACTACATTAAGATAATGACAAAACATCATTTTTTTCCCACTCTGACCAGTTGAACACATGTTTGTGCTTGATTTTCACCCCACTGGGAATCAAGTGGGAATTTCAAACCCCTGGCTGTGGGATCTGTGTGTAGCTTGTGGTGCTTTTTGGCAACCTCAGGTCCTGAAATGACCAGGACAGGGACTGAGCTGTCACCTCACAGAGTGCTCAAGTTTTCTGGGGAAAACACTGCTTCTTTCTTGCTTTTGGAGTTTCTGCCACCATTTCTGACTCTTGCACTGCTTAAAAGGGAATAAGAGGCAGAAAATATCCAGTGGAACGTTTTAATTCCCAAGGGAGTTGCTGATGGGGCAGGTGTTGGGACACCTGGGTTCCCTGTGCTGAGCTGTTGCAATATTTCCAGTTCTTGCCTGTCCTGTAGCTTGAATTCCTACAGATCTGGTTTGAGCAGGACTTTGGTGCTGGAGAATTGCACTGCTATGATGTGGATGTAAAACAACCTCTGTCTGCAGGCCTCTTTTGATGAATCATTCAGGTGCTTCAACAAAACACAAGTTTTGTGTTGCTCAGACAGAGTGGAAGTGCAGACTCTCGCTGCCCCAGCTTTGCTGCTCTGGTGATTTCTCTTTTTACATCAATGAGAAAAGGAGAGAGGGGAGAATAATTGACATTTGAGCTGCTGGGTGACTGCAGGGAGCACAGCAGGCCTGTGGAACAGAGGAATAAACTCAATATGTGGCCAAGCTGAGCAGCTGGGGCTCCGTTTCTCACCTGCTTTGTGAAAGGGAGCTGGCACTCAGAGGGGCTGTGTTTCTGCAGGGCTTTCAGCTGATGCCCATTCCCTGGTTTTGCCCTGTTTCAGGAAGCTCCGGGCCACGCTGGACGAGTACACCACCAGAGTGGGGCAGCAGGCCATCGTCCTGTGCATCTCACCCTCCAAACCCAACCCTGTCTTCAAAGTATTCGGTGCTGCACCCTTGGAGAATGTGGTAGGTGTCCCTGGGAAAGTGAGGAAAGAAATTCCTCACCTTCTCTGCAGATTTTGTTCTACTCAGGGCAGTCTTGGAAGCCTGGTAGGGATCTGAAGAGTAATTTTAAAAACCCTGGAAAATAGAGTTTAGGTTTTATGGAATACAGTGCTGGACCTGGTTGAGTCAGTGATTTCAGAGATCTTTTCCAGCCCTAATGTTCCTGTGATACCCTGACATGAGGGCAGCACTGAGGTCCTCTCTTCACTGCAAGAATGGTTGCCTGGCACATCTCACCAGGGAGAATATCCTGGATTAAAAATCAGAGGGAACATGTCATGACCACAGAATCCCAGAACCCCTGAGGTTGGAAAAGACCTCCAGGATCATTGAGACCAAGGTGTCAAAGCCCCACTTTGTCCCTAACCCAGAGATCTGAGTGCCACATCTAGGAATTCTTGGACACCTCCAGGGATGGGCACTCCAAAGCTCCCTGAGCAGCCCCTGCCAAGGCCTGACCCCCTTTCCATGGGGAAATTCCTGCTGGTGCCCACCCTGAGCTCCCCTGGCCCAGGCTGAGGCCGTTCCCTCTCCTCCTGTCCCTGTTCCCTGGAGCACAGCCTGACCCCCCCGGCTGTCCCCTCCTGGCAGGGACTTGTGCAGGCCCCCCCTGAGCCTCTTCTTCTCCAGACTAAACCCTGAAAAATGACATGTTTAAACTCAGCTCTTCTCTCTTCACCTTATTGCAGACCCTGCCCAGGACAAGTTCTACCCTCAGAACTTTTCCTTTCATCCCACAAATTCTTCCCTTGCCAGTGTTACTGCGGGTTTCATCAGCAGCTCTTCCGTAGGGCCGAGTCTCAAAGGGCTGCTGGGTGTTTCCTGGCAGCTGTGCCACTGTTTGCTCCTCTCCTGGTGCTGCTCACCTTGTTTACCTGAGCCTAACAACTCCCCACAGGTACGCAAGTACAAGAGCACCATCCTGGAAGACCTGGAGTCGGCGCTGGCCGAGCACGCCCCGGCCCCTCAGGAGGTCAACTCAGAGCTGCCACCCCTCACCATCGATGGCATCCCTGTCTCCGTGGACAAGATGACCCAGGTGAGTGGACAGGTGACCCAGGTGAGCAGCCACCCGTGGCAGAGGCAGGGGAACAGAGGGGTGTTTGGCATCTTGCAGTCTCATCCTGTTGTTTTGTGTGGCTGCCTCTCCAGAGGATGCTCTGATCTCTCTCCCCTGGGGCTCTGACAGCTCAGGTTGTGGTTGGGTGTGGAGCTTTGTTAGTGATGCTGATTTTCTCCATGAACAAAAATGGTGTGGAGAGCTCAGGCTGCTGCGAGCATTCCCTTTGGAGCTGATTTTGACACCTCAGAAACTGCAAACAGGGAAAATGTTTGTTCCGTGCTTTGCCACGATCTTTAAGCACCAAGGTTGGGAAAGTCACTCGTGGACACCTTCCTGTGTCCTGTAGTTCATTCCCTCCTCTGTTTCTTGCTGTGGATTGGAGCAGAAGGGAGTTTGCCAAAGGTTCAACCCCAGATCAGACCCTGAGTGAGATATTTTTGTTGGAGCTTTGTTAGTGATGCTGATTTTCTCCATGAAAAAAAAAATGGTGGGGAGAACTCAGACTGCTGGCAGCATTCCCTTTGGAGCTGGTTTTGGGACCTCAGAAAGTGGAAACAGAGGAAATTTCCCTGTTCCCTGTTTGTTCCATGCTTTGCCACAGTCTTTAAGCACCAAGGTTGGGAAGGTCACTTGTGGACAGTTTTCTGTTTCCTGTAGCTCATTCCCTCCTCTGTTTCTTGCTGTGCCTTGGAGCAGAGGGGAGTTTAACCCCAGATCAGATCCTGAGTGGGATATTTTTGTTGGAGACAGGGAATTATCTGCCCTGGGCATGTGGGAGATTCCCTTTCTCTCCAGGTCCAGCCCCTTGCTGACCTCACTGTTGGGAGAAAGTGGAGGGGACTCCTCAGGGAAGCTTCATCTGGAGGGAAATCTCCTTCCCAGGGATGCAGGACCTGAATTCAGGCAGGTGTGTCCTGCAGGAGGCTCTGGGTACACCCAGCCTGAGGCACCACAACAAGTTTTAAATGCTGAAAGGCAATTTTTATCCGAGGGAGTAGCAAGATGGAAAGGGCAGCACACAAAGAGGTCAGAGCAGGGCAAAGACATGCAGATTTTTCAGTGCTCTGCAGAGGTCACACCCTGCTCAGAGCACCATTTCCATTTCTTGGTGGAATCAGACAAGCTCACACTCTTAATAAAATTTTATTGTGCTTTGGCTGGTACAGATCATTTTCCCAATCCCTGACAAATAAGACAAAAACTATTTCTTGGATTTTTAAACTCCTGTGAAAGGTGGCACCTGCAGGAGCTGCTCATGGAAATGTTTCTCTCCTCCTGGTCCTGCAGGGCCTTTGCTCAGCCAGCCCAAAGTGCTGATGTAGAACCTTTTCTTTCAAATCCTCTCCTGCTGCTCCATGGCAGAAAAACCAGGATCTTTTTAGGAATGGCCCTCATCGTTCCAGCACAGTGAGGTAGTTCAGAAGAGCTGTGGAAAGGTTTCTCCTGAGCTGGGCACAGAGGTACCATCATTTATTGTGGGAATCTTGATTCCCAGAGCTTCCACTATAATTATTTGTATTTTCTAGTAAAAAAATCAGTGCTTTTTTTTTTTTTTTTTTTTTTAGCTAAGTTGCACAAAACCCCATGGAAAACTGGAACAAAAATAAATATAAATGTAATTAGGAGGGCAGGGACTGGAAAAATGAGGCCTCTGCTTTCAGCAGGTGACAGCAGGCAGGTGTAGAGGTGTCATCAGTGAGGAGGTGAAAATAATTCTCCTTTTAATTGCTCTGCTTCCCCAGTGGTCTGGAGGGAAATGAAGCCTTTATTTGCCTGGGCAAAGATGTTTCTCTAACCTTGGGAATGGAGAGTATCACCCACCTGGTCTGGGCAGGAAAACCTGTGTTGCAGTGGGATTTTCAGCCTTCACAGAGGGGGATCTTGGTGCTTTCTGGACTTTGGTGACAGCTGAGTTTGCCCCTCACCTTGTTCTCAGCTGCTCGTTGATGTGATTGAGGAGTAAAATTGGGTAATCTGAGCTTAACCAAGCTGAGCTCAGTGCCTCAGTCAGCTCTCACTGGTTTATGAAGAGGTGATTTGTCCTTTAAGCTGATTTTTTTTTTAAGCCCCTGTGATTTATAACTTGCTTGTAGGAGGCAGTAAAAGCTTTTCTGGCTCCTACAGGCCAGAAAAAACTTTATAAAGTTTTTGAAAGACCATCATGGTGCCCGTTCCCCTCCTGAGAGCTGCATTGCTGCTCTCCCAGCTGGTGCCTGGCACAGAATCCTTGCTGGAATCAGCTCCCATGCAGCTGAGCAATAGCCTGGATGGATTTCTGGTTTCCCAGCTCTGGGAAGTGCAGCAGGGATGGATTCAGGGATGGGTGTTCCCTTCCAGCTCTGGTGCAGTTGCTGTTTTTCCCTCTCCCACTTCCAGGTGCAGCCGGGGTCCTGCATGGACTCGACTTTGCAGAGATCCCAAGGCTGAGCTCTGGGCATGTGTAGAAAATTCCCAGCCACAGGTTTTGCTCTCTTCTAGAAACCACTTCCCTTGGTGTTTCCAGCTCTGGAGAGCAGTTGGAATACAGCTGGCTGTGCTTTGGGCTGTTGCATTTGGGATTGGGACAGCTCAGTACCATTAATTCTCGAATTTGATGTTAAAAGTGAAAACACTGAGCCTGTGTGAAAGAAGTGGCAAAGAAACATTCCTCACCATTTTTCCCAAATCCATCCTGGGGGCTCCCTGAGTCCTTTCCAAGGGCACAAACTGGAAGGTGCCACTGGGTTTTTCCAGAAGATATTTGATTTTTGGGTGTTTCTGGATGGTGCTCCTGCAGGTGAGTGTCCCCCCTGTTCCCCCAGGGGTGTGGGGGACATCACCTGTGGCCCAGCCCAGCCTCGTTAGGGCACTAATTAGCCTCTGCTGACAGAGCTGCTGATTGTCTCCCCGTGGATTAAAACAAACCCTCCTTAACAAGTACCTTGAGTAGCTTGAGCCCTGAACTGCTAGAGCAGTAATTGATGCAGCTGGAACAAGGAGCACTGCTGATGGCAGGGAAGAGCTTTAACTGTTTTTGCACCGGCCCTAAATGCTGAAAATTTTAAACTTTCTGTACTAAAAAACTCTAATCCCCAGAAGAATCCCACATTTAACCTAAAGCCATAAACCAGAATTGTTAATAACACTAAAATTACAAGTGTGTAGTTAATTAAAAGTGTGTAATATCATGAAGTAAAAAACCTAGAGTCTTAAAAAATATATATCATTTAAAATATATATTAATATATATTAATATATGTTATAACATATATTATTCAAAATATAATATATATAAAACAAAATAGAAGTTTTAAAACAAAAACTATGCCTTCTTCCTTCTTCTCCATAAGCTTAAATAGTATTTTATAACTAAACAAAAAAAATCCACATTACAAAGTTCAAGTAATTAATTATTAAGTTAAAAATAAAAATAATTTAAGTATAATTTCTTAATTAAATAGTTTAATCTTAAAAAACCTTATACAAAAATAGTTAACCATTTTGTAACTTAGTAATACAGTACTATAAACAGAACTATATTAAATATGCATTATAAATATTATAAATAATATATTATACTATTTATAAGTATAAGTATAATATATAAGTATATTGTTACTATAATTTATAATATAAATAAAAAATAACAAGCATCTAAACCTAAACACAAAATACCATCTCTAACACTTCAATCCAAACCTAAACAAAATCAACCCCAAACAAACAAAAACCAAAAACAAACAAAAAAAAACAAAAAAACCCAACAAAAAAAAAAAAAAAAAAAAAAAAAAAAAAAAAAAAAAAAAAAAAAAAAAAAAAAAAAAAAAAAAAACAAACACAAAAACAACAAAAAACAACAAAAAACAAACCAAACCAAAAACCAGCAGCAGCTCCAAAAAAGCTTGCTGCTCCCAGGTTTATTTTAATTAATTATTGAGCAGAGTTACTGCTAAATATTAATCCTTGGGGATGAACTCCCTGCCTTTACAGCTCCATTCTGGTTTTCCCTCCTTCCCCCAGCTCTGCTCACTCAGCCCTGTTTGTTGCAGTGTTGAACAAATCCTTTTCTCTCTTGGGCTATCTATGAACAATGTATTTTTAAATAAACTGCTTTCTGGAGGAATTATTCCTTCTCCCTTTGCCAGGCTTCATCCAGGGAACCTGGAGCATGTCAGGGTGGGTGTTGGCCCTGCAGTGGAAGGTGGATCATGGACAGGCTGGGAAAAAGGTGCTTTAGGGCTTATTCCATGTGGAAGGTGGAAAAGGCAGCTTGAAATGAGATCTTGGACAGCTTGGAGCCAAGGGATGCCACATCCAGGCTCTGTCCAGAGAGGGGAGTGGAGCTGGAGCACAGGGAGAAGGGTCTGGAGAACTTCTGAGGGAGCTGGGAAGGGGCTGAGCACATAAGGAGAGCTCTCCCCTTCCTGCTCTGCTCTGCACCTGAGCCAGCCTTTTCCTGGTGGTTCAAGGAGTCCCTGGTACAAAACCAATCTTGTCACAAAACCCTGTGTGAATTGTTTATTTCTTTTGGCAGGACAGGGCTGGAGAAGTGTGAGATTGTGGTTTCCACATTTCAGCAGTCACTGAAGCTGCACCCCCTTGCAGCACCTCTGTAAATGATACATCAGCTCATGCCTGAGCTCCTGCCACTGTAGGGACACTGAGTGTGGGGTTTTTCATAGGTTATTGTGATTTATTTTTTGTTTTTCCGTTTCAGGTTGGCTCGTCCTCTTCCTAGTAGTGTTTGATTTGTGAAGTGTCAATACAATGGCTGTGCCTTGGTGTCGTAATTTTGTTCTGGCTGATTTAATTTTGTTTCTTCTCTTCCACCCGCTGCCAAGCTGAGTCCTGGGAGAAGATGGCAAAGTATTGTCCACCTTCCTTGGGCTTTCAGGCCTCTTCCTGTTGATGGCTCCAACAGGATGGAAGCTGAACGCAATAATTGCGTACAACGTCCCTCAAAACCACCCGAGATGTGAATTCCTAAACACCTCTCAACCTTTCGTGTGTTCCAGGCACAGCTGAGAGCCTTCATCCCCGAGATGCTGAAGTATTCCACGGGTCGTGGGAAGCCAGGCTGGGGCAAGGAGAGCTGCAAGCCCATCTGGTGGCCCGAGGACATTCCGTGGGCCAACGTCCGCAGCGACGTCCGCACGGAGGAGCAGAAGCAGCGGGTGGGTGTCTCCCTGTCTGCCTCCAAATGGAGCACAGGGGATGCAGGCTGGTTTTTGGCAGTGGTTTTTGCCTTGAGGGACAGAAGAAAGGGTCTGTGTCGTGGCCCCCTGAAGGAGGGAAGGGATGCTGTCCTGTTCAGAGCAGCAGGGAGCCTTGTGCTTAAAGGAAGGAGCCATGGATGTGCAGTGGAGCCGGGGAAAATGAGAGAACTGGGTGAAAAAGTAAGGTTTCTACCAACCTGTCACAGAGATAATCAAAGGAAGCCACCGTGGTGGGGAGGCAGCAGGACCTGTGCAGGCTGGTTCAGGGCTGCTTGGGTGGGGAGGCTGGAAATGGTGCTGTGGCAGCATTTTGGTGCTTTCCCAAATCACCGTGGTTTTCTGCTTGGAGTCACAGAATGGTTTGGGTTGCAAGGACCCTGTTAAAGGTCTTCTCATCCAACCCCTGCACTGAGGAGGGACATCTTCACTGGATCAGAAGGCTTTCCAGGGTGATTCCTTGGGGAGAGGAGGGGATGAGCAGAGGGAGGTTCAATACTGGGATTGTTCGTTTGCGAATCCTTGCGAACCACCCGACGAAGCCCGGTGAGGACAAACCTGCAAATCCCAGCGCTGGGCTGGTTCAGAACACCTCCCTGGGCTGACTGTCCCCTGTTCCCTCCTGCTGGAAGGTGTCCTGGACCCAGGCCCTGAGGACCATCGTGAAGAACTGCTACAAGCAGCACGGGCGCGAGGACCTGCTCTACGCCTTCGAGGACCAGCAGACCCCGCAGACCACGACCACGCACAGCATCGCCCACCTGGTGCCCTCCCAGACCGTGGTACAAACCTTCAGCAACCCCGACGGCACCGTGTCCCTCATCCAGGTGAGAGCAGCCCCCTGGCTCCTCCATTTCCAGCACCATTTAAACCACCAGGAGGTGGCTGGAGGAAACTCATGAGCCAAACTTGTCCTTCAGGAATTTCGTCCTTATCATGTCTTACCCCACAACAAAGATCCATCCTCTCCTCTCTCTTCCCAGCTCCCACCCCTTGTCCAGTGCAAGGGTTTCTGTGATGTGGTCAAAAAAATTCAGGGGTTTGACCCAAGTTTAGTGAACCTGCTTGGAACAAATCCAAGCCACACAGCACCTGTAATGGCAGTGGGAGGAGAGGTGGTGGAACTGCCTTCCTTTAATGGTATGAAGTGTAGTTTAATCAGCTACATTTTAGGTATTTTATATATAAATCATCTATCTATCTATCTAATACATATTATATATTTTTATATATCTATTTTTAATATAGATATACGTATCTATATTAAATATATATATATATCTATATATAGATCAAGTATTTCTGTGCCCCAGGTCTTTATCTGACACCTGAAGTGTATTACATTTTTTACAAACACCAAATACATATTTGTCCCCATGGAATAGGATTCCTCTCACACTGTTCTTAGCTCAGTGCTGTTTTCCCTGTGTTCCCTGTGAGGGAAAGCAGATTCTGGCAGCTCAGGATGTCAAAAAAAATTAGGTTTTCTCTTGAAACTTCCCACAAACTCCTTGTGGGGGTGAGAATTGAACCTCAGTTTCCCCTGTGCCTCCAAACCACCACTGGTGGTGGTTCCTAACCAGGCCCAGCACTTTGTCCCCCTTGAGCATCACATTTTTAGTCAAGTCTCAGACACACTTTTCTCAGACAGATAAAAGCTGGGTGTTTGAGTAGGGTTTTTTTTCCCAAATGAAGCTTTTCAGTGGCTGTCACAATTTTCTGTTCCCCACCAAGGCCCAGGTGGTTCTCTTTGCTCACCTGTCCATACAATCTCCCTTTGACTGGTGTCCTTTCAGGTGCTGGACACCTGAGATCCCATTGACTCCCTGCATTTATATTTAATGCTCCCATCTCCCTGCCTGTGTCCTTTCCCAGCTGTTAAATGGGGAAAAGATCATTTCCAAAGGGGTATTGAGGAGGACCTCACGTTTGCCAAGGTGCCTGGAGATGAGACCCAGGGAATGGGGAGCAAGGAGGGCGTGCAGGGAATTGTGAGCCAGTGCTGGTGGGTGGGAGAAGGGAGTTGGCTCCACCATGCTCCCTCAGCTGCTCTTCCTGAGGCTGGGAGACCGCTGAGGCCTTCAGGGACATAGGGACAGCAAAACTTGGTTCCAGTCTGGAAGCTGCCATGGATGAACGTGGCTCCAACTTGGGATTTCCTCCCCGCTGGGGAGAGCTCCATGTTTTCCGTGAGCTCTGCAATTACAATTAGTCACAGAATCATGGAATTTGAGGGAGTTGGAATGGACCTTAAAGATCCTATCATTGCCATGGGCAGGGACACCTTCCACCATTCAGCCTGGCCTTGGGCACTTCCAGGGATGGGACACCCACAACCTCTCTCGCAGTAAATTCCTTTATTCTTTTCAATCTGCCAGCGTGTGAGCCCCCCTTTTCCCCAACCTGCGGACACTTCCTGCGGTAACCCTGCGTCGTTTTCTCCCCACAGGTTGGCACGGGTGCCACGGTGGCCACGCTGGCCGACGCCTCCGAGCTGCCCACCACGGTGACCGTGGCACAGGTCAATTACTCTGCAGTGGCTGACGGAGAGGTGAGCGGCCCGTGGGGCACCCGCGGGGCCCGCGGCAGCCGTGGGGCCCGCGGTGAGCACCGGCCTGGCAGAGAGGGGCTGGCACACAGCAGGGGCTGCGGGCTGCTGCACCAAGTGCTGAGGGGCTGCTGCGGCGCAGGGCTCTGCAAAGACCATTTACCACGGTGACCGTGGCACAGGTCAATTACTCTGCAGTGGCTGACGGAGAGGTGAGCGGCCCGTGGGGCACCCGCGGGGCCCGCGGCGAGCACCGGCCTGGCAGAGAGGGGCTGGCACACAGCAGGGGCTGCGGGCTGCTGCACCAAGTGCTGAGGGGCTGCTGCGGCCCAGGCCTCTGCAAACACCATTTTGTATATGTATATGTATATATAAATATAATTTTATATGTGTATATATATAGATATGTAATTTTATATATTTATATATATGAACGTTATCTATAAAATATAGAATATTATATATATAATATTTTACATATATAATAATATTATATAATAGTGTCTCCCTGTGTGTCCCCCTGTGTGTCCCTGTGTGTCCCTGTGTTCCTGTGGGTCCCTGTGTCCCTGTGTCCCCGTGTCCCTGTGTGTCCCTGTGTGGCTGTCACGGCGAGAGGTGGCAGCACAGAACAGCTTTGCTGGCCCCGCTCCCTGTTCCCATGCCAGCCCTGACTGGAGCAGCCTGCAGTGACCTTGAAGCACTTTGCAGCTGCTTTGGGCTTTTCAAGGGCCACTTTTATCTCCTGAGAGCTGCAGGAAATCTTCCAAAGGCACAAATGAGGCTGAGTGGGGCTCACCTGGGTTAGGGAAGGTGTCCCTGCTTGGGATCTGGATGAGTTTAAGGTCCTTTTACACCCTTTTAGCTGTGGAATCTCAGCCTTTCTGGAGACAGTCCCATCTTCTTTTCCTTCTTTCCTTACCCCATCCCTGTTCTGGAACTCCTTGGGCACCTTTGTAGGGCATCACTGGGATCTCCCCACCCACAGCTGCTCCCTCCCTCTCCATCCTGTGTTGGGATTGACCTTTACCCAAAGGCAGCAAAGTTTTCCTCATGCAAAATTTTACCTGGAGCCTCAGATCACCTCTGCTTTTAGGGATTTTTTAACCATCTCCATCCCAACAAATTGAGGTGGTTTTTTCATCACCCCCTACAGCATTTTTGTTTCAGAAGTTGGGGAGTGTCCTAAAATGTTTATGGGGATGGAGGTGGAGGGGAATTTCCACCTTGCAAAGCAGCCAGTAGGATTTGTCAGCAGATCCTCTGCTTGTTTGGTCCAAAGTATGTTTTTAGTTCTCATCCTGGTGGATTTTGGCCATGTAATCATTATCTGTGAAGCTCCACGTGAAGATACGGGGGAAAATGAGCAACAGGGTGAACTTTAGGTGATATGAAAATCATCTGTGAGAAGGTCTGGAGTTAGGGAATTTTAAATACCTGGGATAAATGAACATTTCCAGCCACTGTCATCTTTTATTGAGCAATATGGCTCAATCCCATCCGAGGTCACAGGTGCTGTCCAGATAATCCTGGATGGGAACAGGGACCAATCCCCAAAAAGTGCAAATAGAAACAGGGAGGAAAACACAGCCCATTTCCCTGAGGGATGTGATTTGTGCTGGGGCTCCAGCACTGCAGAAACACAGAATTCCAGAACAGTTGGGATTGGAAGGGACCTTTGGGAATCCTCCAGTCCAGGGCAGGGTCACCCAGAGCAGGTGACACAGGGACAGGTGGCTTTGGGATGTCTCCAGACAGAGATACTCCACAGCTTCCCTGGGCAGCTGTTCCAGAGCTCTGCCACTCTCCATGGAAGGAAGTTCTTCCTCATGGTGAGGTAGACTTGTGTTTTAATTGATGGCTGTTAATCACAGCTAATTAACAAACAGCCCAGCCTGGCAGGCAGCAGGTACAACAAGAACACCACTGCCCTGTTTTGTTGAGGATTTGGCAGGACAAGAGGGATTTGGAAGGGCTGGGAGCACCAACCCTGAGAGGAAGCCCTGAGGGAGCTGGGGGTGCTCCCCTGCAGAAAAGGAGACTCAGGGCTGCCCTCAGCACTCTGCACAGCTCTGAAAGGTGCCTGTGCTCAGCTGGGGCTGGGCTCTGTCTGCAGCAGCACTGACACAGCCACAGCACACAGTCCCGAGCTGTGCCAAGGGAAATTCAGGCTGGGTGTCAGGAAAAAGCTTTTCCAGCAAGGGGATAAAGCTCTGCCATGGCTGCCCGGGGAGGTGCTGCAGTCACCATCCCTGGGGTGTTGAACAAGCCTGGATGTGGCACTGGGTGCCAGGCTCTGCCTGAGGGCTTGGGCTGGGCTGGACTCCATGGGCTGCAAGGTCTCTCCCAACCCAGTCATTCTGTGATTTCTGGGTTTTTGAGGACCTTTCTGGATCTTTATCACTGTGAGCCTCATGGCTGACAGAGGGGCTGCAGTGTCCAGCCACATCCTCAGCTGCATCCCAGCCTCCCTCCCCTTTTCCCCGCTCTCAGAGCCGGACACCGCAGGACTCTACAAAAACCAATCCATTTTTCTTTTTGGGGAGCAGGCACCCCTGGAGGGGGTGCTCCTGATCCTACAGCCTGTGTTTCCTGGCAGGTGGAGCAGAACTGGGCGACGCTACAGGGCGGGGAGATGACCATCCAGACGACGCAGGCCTCGGAGGCCACGCAGGCGGTGGCTTCCTTAGCGGAGGCGGCGGTGGCGGCGTCGCAGGAGATGCAGCAGGGAGCCACTGTCACCATGGCACTCAACAGGTACCTGGAGAGGGCACAGCTGGCTCAACCTGAGCCTGGCATCTCCTGCCTGCGTTTCCTTCTGTTGGGGGCAGAGTTCAGCCTGTTCAGTCCTGAGAGAGGCTGTCACTCAGCGGGTTCCTGCAGCAGGTGGTGTGTGTAGGACAGATCATGATTCCTTCTCTGTTCAGAATCAGAATTTCCTCCACTGGCCACTGGCTTTGTTTTGTTTTTTTCCCCAAATCTTTCTGAAGTAGAAGCTGAAGGAGCTGCAGTGGTTATTAGGGTTTTTGGCTGCACTCAGGTTAGCAAGATCTGAGTGTAGCTGCACAGGTCCATCCAGCAGGATGAAATATCTTTGCTCAGCTCTGCTGAGCTGCTTAAACTCATCCTGCTGTTCCTAAAACCTGGAAATGGCTGTGGCATTCCCTGAGGGATAGGAAATCACAGCACAGCAGTGAAGGAGGTTTCCCACTGCTGAGCTGTGGACAAGAATTTGCCTCATCCAAACCAGGATCCTGGTTAGAGGCTGTTGGCTGAGCAGCCTGGGGGTGGAACAGGGCACCAGACCACACTGCTGGTAGCTGGAATAAAGCTCCAAGACCTTGTTCCATCCAGAAATTGCTGAAGGAATCACTTTGATCCCAGTTTGCTCCCAAATATCTGTTGGAATTGAATTCCAAACACACCTAGGACTGTTTCTGCTCTTTGTGATGCAGATTTGGGTCCTTCAGATATTTCTTGTCTGCTGCATGAGATTTCTCAAATAGGCTTTTTTTTACTAATATTTCCCTGTAAAATTCCCTTTTAAAACCAAATGATCTTTCCAGGACACTGGAGTTACAGGAGCAAGCCCCATCTCCCCAAATCCAACTTGCAGGATTTTATCCTGCACATTTCCAGGATTCCAGATTTCCCTACATGGATTTTTTTAAGAAGTGGGAGGGCTGGGCATGAGATGACACCTGATGCCAGGTTTGCTGAGCTGCCCTGGGCCTTCCTGCAGGGAAAATGCCTTCCCAGAGCTCCAGGCTCAGGAGAAGGATGTGCCCAGGGGAGGAGGGAAGCCAGGCAAGAGAAGATTCTGGTTCTCTACGAGTGTTTAAGAGCTGCTCTGAGACACAGAGGGGCTGCTGAGAACTGAAAATCCACCCTGAGTGGATGCAGGAAAGTGTTTGGCATCTAAGCAGGAAATGAGGGAAGAGAACAAAAATATGGGGAAACAGTTGGAAAATATTTGAGTCAATTGGTCAAGCAGAGAATGAGCAGAGGGAGAGCATTCATGGGGAAGCTAAAGGAAATCCCTCCTTTTTGCTTAATTCAGGTAGGAATTGGTAGGAAATTTGACTTCAGGAATGTTTTACCACTGCTGAGCAGATATTGTAAAAATAAGTTGAATATTAGGAATTGTCAGGAAAGGCATTAAGGGCAAGCCAGGATTAGGAATAACTGATGGTGCATTCACATGTTGGACAGTGTGGGAAGTGCTCACCACTCAAATGGAAAAGAGTGATCAAAGCCAGGAATGATCCATGCCACAGTGGGCTGTGGGAAGGAGATCACTGGAAATGTGTGAAATCATGAGGAAAACAAAAAAGGAAAAGTTTTATTTTCTCTTTCTCACAATATCAGACTAAAGGGCCGCCCAGCCAGGAGTTTTTGAAGCACCACAATGCAATTTTTCCTTCTAATTAAATGTGGAGCTCTTTGCTCCAGGATGCTGGGGAAGCAAAAAGTGTAGATGGGTTTCAGAGGGATTAAAGACTGGTCAGAGCTGATGGGCCAGATGCAGTCTCTGGGAAGCTGGGAGGGTGTAAGAGGGGAAAGATTGGGCACATCCTTTCCTAAATATCTGCCACTGCTGTTCTCACAGAACAGCTCTGCTGGCCACAAACCCTGTTCCCATCTCAGATTTGGCTGAAACAGCCTGGGGTGACCTTGCGTGGGAAATGAATTTGTAGAGAATTCTTAAAGTTTGACAGAAAGCTCACATGGTGTGTGTTTGTATGTAAACCTTGAGATGAGAAATGCTGGCTTAGAAATGCTGTGGAATAGGGTAAACACTGTTAGGAGAGAAATGGAATTAAAAATAAGCTTTAAAGGATGGTTTTGTAAATAAGACTGGGTATTTTAGAAAAAATATAACTATGAAAAGTGTATTGTAGTAAGGTCTGTGAGAAGTAATTTTAGATGATTAGCTTTAAAGCATTTACAGTATGGTGTAGTAAAAGCTGATGGGCTAAGAAACACTTATAATATGTTGTAATTAAGAAATAGTTTCTGATTGTAATAGTGTGAATTATAACATCTGTATTTTCTCACCCACAAAACCACCCCATATACATATATATAATTATGTATTATATATAATATTATGTATTATATGTATATCTGTTATTATATATAACAGATATATATAACATCTGTATTGCCTCACCACAAAACCAGCCCATTTCTGGGTCAACAAAAGGCTTAATCCAACAACCTTGAAGCACCTTGCAGCTGCTTTGGGCTTTTCAAGGGCCACTTTTATCTCCTGAGAGCTGCAGGAAATCTTCCAAAGGCACAAATGAGGCTGAGTGGGGCTCACCTGAGTTAGGGAAGGTGTCCCTGCCCTGGTCTGGATGGGTTTAAGGTCCTTTTACACCCTTTTAACTGTGGAATCTCAGCAGCTCAGCCTTTCTGGAGACAGTCCCATCTTCTTTTCCTTCTTTCCTTACCCCATCCCTGTTCTGGAACTCCTTGAGCACCTTTGCAGGGCTTTTGGGCCTGGCCTCATTTGTGTGAAGAAATTTAACAGCAATCTGCTGAAAATAATGCTCATTAAAAAGCATCATTAAGCCACTTGGCTGGGGAGGAGTTGAAGCCAGAGCTGGTGATGCTGGTCATGGCAGCAGGACAAGGCAAAGGGGCAGAAGGGAGAACTCTGAAATCTGCAGAGCCCCAGGATGTGCCAGTGCCAAAATACCTGAATCCAGAGGCAGGAAGGAGCCACGTGGAATTGTCCCAAAGTTTTATCAAGTCCCAGGTGAAAGGGAGAACACAGGACTTTTCTAAGAGACCTGAAAAAAATCCACCAGAACAGCTTCTTCCCATCCATTCCTTCTGCTGTGCATCACTTCACCCAGGCCAGATGGGAATCCCTCTGCTCTGGGCTGCTCTCCTGGCGTGTGTTTTCTGGTTCAAATGGAGTTATTTGTTTCTCTGCTGTCCCTAACCCTTGTCTCCTCCCTGCAGTGAAGCCGCTGCCCACGCCGTAGCCACGCTGGCCGAGGCCACCCTTCAAGGAGGGGGACAGATTGTCCTGTCTGGGGAAACTGCTGCAGCGGTGGGGGCACTCACAGGAGTCCAGGATGCCAATGGTAAGGCCTCTGCAAAGGTTTTCTTTGGTTTGGTTTTTATTTAGGTTCTTTTCCTCTCTTTTTATTGAAATGGCACGGTTTGGGTGGTAAAATACTCCTCCCTCACTCAGGGGGTCACTGACCAGTTGTGAGTTTTAATCTCAGGGTGGAATGGGAGTATTAACTTCTTCTTTGCTGCCATGGTGCTGGTGGCTCTGCTCTTTCCCTCCCCTGCCAGCTGGCTCTACATCCTTAGTTTTTTTGGGAAAACTGCTCCGTGATGTGTGTCTGTGCCCAGCACAGGAAGGACCGGCCTTGATCACTTAACACAATTAGTTGGTGCCATAATAAGCTCATCTCCAGAACTCTTAAACCAACATTTTATTACTTATTTCCTGCCCTTCTCAAGGCTTTTTTTCTGTGCTTGGTGGCTGTTCCTGAGTCAGCCTCAGGTCATTTTCCTCCTGCTTCATTTTCCATCTTCCCACCACAGCCGATCTCTTGATTCCAGGGATTCTCTGTAGCATTTCTCACCTGTTCTATGCCTTCTGCCAAGTCTGGTGACTTTTGCAGCCCTTGAGACTAGAAATAAAAGTGTAAATCTATAAAATCCAGTTCAGGAGATTAATGGAATATGAAAATGTGCTTCGTTGGGGCTCATCCATTGCCTCCAATTGCTCTGTGCTTCTGCCTGACCCTGGAGGTGTTTAAGGAACACCTGATGCTTTGGTGTTGGGTTATAGGTTGGATTCAGTGATCCCAGAGGTCTTTCCCAGCCTGGCTCTGGGATAATTTCTAAGCTCAGACTGGTTATTATGGAATTACCCAAGAAAAAACCCACTGGTTGTTTGGGTTAGGTGGAAGGAGGTGTGTCAAAATCAGCCGGAAAAGGGCGCAAAGGGTGAAGTTGTAAAGAAGCCTTGAGGGTGGGACTGTTTGGACAGGAATTGTCAAAGAGGGGCCAAGTTGTGGCTGGGTGCCAGAACTGTCATTTTGCATGAAAGCAGAAACCTGCTCAGGTGAGAGCTGCCTTCCATCAGAATCCTCATCCAGCCAGGAGCACAGCACGCTCTGTGTGAAATGTGGATGTTCAGATTGCAGCAGAGGAGGGAAGAGGAATTTGGCTCGGAGCTGGTTTGGTTCCCTTGCTGTGGAGTCAGCCAGCCTGAAGAGGGAGCAGAAACGAAGGGAAATCCCTGTCCCCGGAGCTGGGGATGCATCTGGCACCGAGGGAAGAGCAGGATTGTGTTTATTGTGCCGGCAGCCTGGCGTGAGGGCGATAAGTGCTCTGTGTTTATCAGAGGCAGGATCTGACCCTGGATGCTCAAAACCAGCAACTAATCAGATTTGGAAAAGCAGATCCGCACCCCTGGCTCCTTCTGCTCTGCTTCCAAAATGCTTTCACAGTCTGGATTCCTCTGGATGCTTCCCCTAAAACTCCCCTTCTCCACACCCTCCCTGAGTCACTCCACCTCACTCTCCCAGCGCTGACATCATTTCAATACAGGCTGGGTTGGTTTTTTTTTTTCCTTTTTTTTCTCTTTTTTTTTTTCCTAGCAGCCGAGTTGGAAATCAGATGGGATTTAGAGTGCATTAAGAGGAGAGGCTGCAGCATTTTCCTGTGAGCACAGCCTCGCCCACAGCCCCTCGCCTGGTTTCCACTCTCCTTCGATTTGCTCTAATCTCCGGTGGTATTAAGGGGAAGGGCTTTGGAGTCCTTGGGAGCTCCATGCTGCTGGTTCCTTACGTAACCAGCTAATATATCTCCCTCAGGGATGGAGGAGATGTTGGTATCCATTGCTGCTGTCTCTGTCTGGGGAGCAGAGCAGATGGATTCACTGCCGGCAGGATTTATCTCCGTAGCCGGGGTGGGAGTGGGAGCATCCTCCTGGACACCATTTGATGGATGCAGCAGGAGAAATCCACTCTCTGCCCTTCTGTCCAGAGGAGGTGGAATTGGCAGTGATTTGGGGAAAACTGCCAGAGCCAGAATGGTCCTAACCAGCAAATTTCCCCTTCTCTCTGCTGCTTGCGAGGTCTTAGTTTGCTGATATTCCCAGTAAATGCTTCTCTCTGGGAATGCTCTGACCCTTCTGCAGGATTTTTCTGAGGAAAAAACCTATCTGGAAGGGTAGGATAGAAATTTATCTCCGTCTTATTGATAAGGTAAAGGAGATAGTTTGGCACCTCCCCATCCCTAGGAGTGTCCAAGGCCAGGTTGGACAGGTTTGGAACAACCTGGGATAGTGGAAGGTGTCCCCATGGCAGGAATGAGATTATCGCTAACTGACTTCCAGCCCAAACCATTCCATGATTTCTGTGAAAATGTCTGGAGGTCTGTCAAGGTGTTTCATTCCTGATTTCAGCCATTTAGTGTAATTACTCTCTTTTTTTAATTTTTTTTTTTCTCTCTCACTATGGCATTTTTCCCATCCCTTCTCTGGAATTATCTGAATAATAATAACAATACAAGACCCCCAAGATGGCTAAAAAGAGGAGACCTCTGAATATTCGTGGAAATGTTGGAATCTAGGGCTGGATATCTTGCAGGGAGCCCAGGAACGTGGCTGCACTGCAGAAGGGCTGTGGGTAATCTTGTGATCTGTTCCATTCCCAGCTGAAGGAAACAAGATCTCCTGCTCCCATGCAGTGTCAAACCAGCTAAGTGCATTATGGTTTTCCTGCTCCTCAGGAGCATCTGCTCTGAGTGGGGATGCAGGAACTGGTGACCCCACACTTGGAGCCTCAGATGGTTTTGTTCCTAAGTGCTTGGTATTGAACAGAGGAATATGGAGGGCAAGTGGAGGGGAGTGTGGCAGCACCAGTCCCTGAAAATGCTGGGAAATGCTCTGCTAAGAAAAACTCTGTGCCCTGGAGCTGCTTTTGGAGTGAGAGGAGCTCGGTGAGAGTTGGAAGGAGCCGGTGCTGGAGCATCCTCCTCCTCCTCCTCCTCCTGCAGCCTTTTGTTTGCCATTGATCCGTGGGGCCCTGAGGGCTGCCAGGGCTTCCCGGCTGCATCCTGAAATATTGATGAGGCTCCTGGCAGGGCTGAGCCTGCAGGGCTGCCCTCCCTGCCCAGGGAGGGTTCAACAGCCACGGCTCGGCACCAGTCCGGGGCTTGTGGAAGGTGAGGGGAGTGGAACGCTCCAGCTCCAGCTGGGATTCAAACCAGGACATGAATGAGGAGCAGTGGGAAGACTTGGGAAGGAAGAAGAAGCTGTGGAGGATGTGCCATAACCAGGGAATTAATTTTACAGACCAGAGATCCAGTGGATCCTGCTTGTCCCCCTTGGCAGTTCTTTTCCTGTCCCCAAAGCTGATTTTCCTGCTGGATTTCCTCCCTGTGCTGCTGGAGATGCTCCTGAGAGCACGAAGGGGAACACTGCGAGGAGCCCACCTGAGTCCTGCACTTCTCCATCCCAAAAATCCCATCCTGCTCTCCACACAAGCAGAGGGGGCCGTGTTCAGGCTGGGCTGAGCCAGGATCTGTGAGGAGCATTAGGCTCTGACGTGGGCAGGGGGGATTAGAGAGCTCCCAGCTTTTGCAGGCCTGGCAAGGAGGTGTCAGTGCTGGGGGGTTTTGGCTTCTTTTTTCTGCTTCTCTCAAGGCTGGGATTGAAGCTGCTGAGATGATATTTTGTGTTCAGATTTAGGTGTTTATTGTTTCTTATTTATACTACAAGTGGTTAGTTCTACAGCATTCTACAAAATGGCCAACTGTCTTTTTATACAAGGTCTTTTAAGGCTAAACTATCCAATTAAGAAATGACACCTAAATTATTTTTACTTTTAGCTTAATAACTAATCACTCAAAGTCCACAATGCAGGTTTTTTTGTCTAATTACAAAATGCTACTTAAGCTTATGAAGGAGAAAGTGAAGAAGAGCAACTAGCCATTGCCCTAGAACTTCTATCTAGCCCCTTATATAGTTATATTCTAAAGCCTTAAACTCTAAGTTTTCTACTCTGTGTTATTACAGACTTCTGATCAAACTCCACACCCATAATCCCAGTGCTATCTATCAATCTTGGAAGCTTTCCCCACTGCCTCAGGTCAAATATACTATTTTCTTGTGGCTCTGTGCCCTTCAGCACAGAAAGTTTCGAATTCTCAGCATCCAGGACTCCAAATGTGCAGGATAAAAGAGCCTCAGCGGCGTTTGGGGTGACAGTGCCACCAGAACTGCTCCTCCAGGTGGTGATTTCCATGTGGGAAGAGGTTTAAATGCTGGAAAAGCTTCTGTTCTGGGCGAGGCTGCTGAGCTTCCCACACAAAGTCAGCAGGTGGGAAGCTGTGCCCAGCCTGGCCCGTGCAGATGGGAAATGGGAACGCTCCTCTGGCAGCTCTGCCTGCCCGTCCCACCCAGCTGCTTGCACAGGAAAACACATCCAGGAGGGAAAGGCAGGATTGGGATCCTGTTCCCTGTGCTGGGTGTTGTCTCCCGGAGGGCAGAACACAGGTGGGAAAACCCAGCAGAAGTTTGGGATCCCCGTGCTTGCTTTGGGATTCCTCGGGATAGGAAAATGCAACACGGAGCCACTGGGAGCTTTTTCACATGAGAAAAACATTTCTAAATTTCCTGGGGGGAGGTTTAGGGGCTGCAAATGACACTTGTTAAAAAGGAGTACTTTATGTTTTTCCTGTTGGATCTCCTTTTTAGGGAAGATGGAGCCAAATGAGTCGCTAGCAGCTTGGCAAAGTGCAGATCAGCATGTTTGCATCCAGGAGGACAGGAAGGAAAGAGTCAAGCTTTTTGTAGGGCCTCCCTGGTGGGAACAGAATTTTTTTATGAAGGTTTTCCCTGAAACAGGTAGGATTTAATCCCACAGGTAGGATTTAATCCCAATCTGAAGGAAAGGTGAGGAAAATAATTTTTGCAGGTGTGTTTCAGATGACAAAGGGTAGAAGAGAAGCCAGTGGCAGCCAGCAAAGAGAGCAGAAGGGTGAATTCCTGGGTTTGCTGAGCAGCTCCAGGGACAGGGAGAGGTGTTTCCTAGAGGACAAATTGCTGTGTATCAAT